TTGCAATGTTGCAGAAAAAGAAAATTCCATGCAGATACGTACAGAGGAACAAGTAAAAATTGCAATTTTGGCTTAAATAGCAATGCACTTCTTGCCGAATAAGGCAAGTGAAAATTTGTGTATGCAACAATTTTGCAAAAGTCATTTTGAACCTAACGAAAAAAAATATATTTCACTGTGTTTATTAAATTGTAAACTTGTATAAAATATAATTAATTGGATTAGTCTAAATTAAACTGAGCTTGTTAAAATAAGGTTAGGAAAGTTTCCTAAGGTTCTTTTGGTACAAGATCATCAATTTTTATATTAACATAAATGAAAAAATATATCGTTAAATGTATGAGAAATTTTTTAAAAAGGACTTAATTTTAAAGGAGTTCTTGCTAACTGACCAATTTTACTTACTCGGTACGACATAAATATATATATATATATATATATATATATATAATATATATATATATATTATATATATATATATATATATATATATATATACATCCTTTGTAACGATCAAACTGGCGTGTGTGGGCGAAACGTTGCCAATAAAGGAATCACAATATATTAAATTTTATCTACATAGATGTTTTAACCAGTACCTGGTACGTTTCCCCCACGTAAGTGATGTTTCCCTCGACCATAATTAACACTAGTGTTATCTTAACATTTATTTTTGAGCAACTTTAATAAAAGACAAGAGGTGGATACACACTCACATTTTTAATATATTGGGTTTACATAAATTATAAATCCTAGTGTTCTTAAATACACAACTTTACATTTTCATGTTTCAAGAATATATTTTGTTTGAAAATCATTATTTATACATTCGTATACATAAACATGAGTAATGAATATAACATCAAATGAATATACATTATCACTGGTGTTATACCCATCAGCACTCTTGTAATGACTGGAATATACATTACCACACATGTATAACTATCACCACTAATGTATAACTATCACCACTAATGTATAACTATTACCACACATGTATAACTATTACCACACATGTATAACTATTACCACACATGTATAACTATTACCACACATGTATAACTCACCACTCGTGTATAGCTATTACCACACATGTATAACTATTACCACACATGTATAACTATTACCACACATGTATAACTATCACCACTCGTGTATAGCTATTACCACACATGTATAACTATCACCACTAATGTATAACTATCACCACTAATGTATAACTATTACCACACATGTATAACTATTACCACACATGTATAACTATTACCACACATGTATAACTATTACCACACATGTATAACTCACCACTCGTGTATAGCTATTACCACACATGTATAACTATTACCACACATGTATAACTATCACCACACATGTATAACTTTACCACACATGTATAACTATCACCACTCGTGTATAACTATTACCACTAATGTATAACTATTACCACTAATGTATAACTATTACCACACATGTATAACTATTACCACACATGTATAACTATCACACTATGTATACTATTACCACACATGTATAACTATTACCACACTGTATAACTATTACCACACATGTATAACTATTACCACACATGTTAACTATTACACCACATGTATAACTATCACCACTAATGTATAACTATACCACTACATGTATAACTATTACCACTACCCATGTATAAACTATTACCATACTCAAATGTATAACTATTACCACACATGTATAACTATCACCACTAATGTATAACTATTACCACACATGTATAACTATCACCACACATGTATAACTATTACCACACATGTATAACTATTACCACACATGTATAACTATTACCACATGTATAACTATCCACACATGTATAACTATTACCACACATGTATAACTATTACCACCATGTATAACTATTACCACTAATGTATAACTATTACCACAATGTATAACTATTACCACTAATGTATAACTATTACCACACATGTATAACTATCACCACTAATGTATAACTATTACCACACATGTATAACTATTACCACTAATGTATAACTATTACCACAATGTATAACTATTACCACACATGTATAACTATCACCACTAATGTATAACTATTACCACACATGTATAACTATCACCACTAATGTATAACTATTACCACACATGTATAACTATCACCACTAATGTATAACTATTACCACATGTATAACTATCACCACTATGTATAACTATTTCACCATGTATAACTATTACCACACATGTATAACTATTACCACTAATGTATAACTATTCACCACTACATGTATAATATACCACTTATGTATAACTATTTTCTCATATGTTAAATCCATAGTACTCACTAATGTATAACTGTACACTAATGGTAAACTATTACACACTGATGTGTAACTATACAACATGTATAGACATTTATTTATGTCAAAACTATTACTAACACACTTGTAGTTAACATTTCCATGGTAGACTATGTTCACCTGTAGATAGACACGTTGTCTGGTAACTATTGTACCTGGAAAAACTGTGTCGATAGACTATTGTCACTGAAGACACTTTTGTTGTCCTGTTTGACTAGTCACTGAAAACTTCTGTTGTCCCTATGTACTAACTGTGTTCACCTGGAGACACTTGGTGTCTGTAGACTATGTTCACCTGGAAGACACTTTTGTTGTACTGAGTAGACTATGTTGTACCTGAAGACACTTTTGGTTGTCCTGGTTAGACTAGTGTGTCACCTGAAGACACTTTTGGTTGTCCTGGTAGACTAGTGTGTCCACTGGAAGACACTTTTGGTTTCCTGGTAGACTAGTGTGTCACCTGAAGACACTTTGGTTGCTGGTAGACTATGTGTCACCTGAAGACACTTTTGGTTGTCCTGGTAGACTAGTGTGTCACCTGGAAGACACTTTTGGTTGTCCTGGTAGACTAGTGTGTCACCTGGAAGACACTTTTGGTTGTCCTGGTAGACTAGTGTGTCACCTGGAAGACACTTTTGGTTGTCCTGGTAGACTAGTGTGTCACCTGGAAGACACTTTTGGTTGTCCTGGTAGACTAGTGTGTCACCTGGAAGACACTTTTGGTTGTCCTGGTAGACTAGTGTGTCTCCTGGAAGACACTTTTGGTTGTCCTGGTAGACTAGTGTGTCACCTGGAAGACACTTTTGGTTGTCCTGGTAGACTAGTGTGTCTCCTGGAAGACACTTTTGGTTGTCCTGGTAGACTAGTGTGTCACCTGGAAGACACTTTTGGTTGTCCTGGTAGACTAGTGTGTCTCCTGGAAGACACTTTTGGTTGTCCTGGTAGACTAGTGTGTCTCCTGGAAGACACTTTTGGTTGTCCTGGTAGACTAGTGTGTCTCCTGGAAGACACTTTTGGTTGTCCTGGTAGACTAGTGTGTCTCCTGGAAGACACTTTTGGTTGTCCTGGTAGACTAGTGTGTCTCCTGGAAGACACTTTTGGTTGTCCTGGTAGACTAGTGTGTCACCTGGAAGGCACTTTTGGTTGTCCTGGTAGACTAGTGTGTCTCCTGGAAGACACTTTTGGTTGTCCTGGTAGACTAGTGTGTCTCCTGGAAGACACTTTTGGTTGTCCTGGTAGACTAGTGTGTCTACCTGGAAGACACTTTTGGTTGTCCTGGTAGACTAGTGTGTCACCTGGAAGACACTTTTGGTTGCGGTAGACAGTGTGTCACTGGAAGACACTTTTGGTTGTCTGTAGACTAGGTGTCACCTGGAAGACACTTGTTTCTGGTAGACTAGTGTGTCTACCTGGAAGACACTTTTGTGTCTGGAGCTTAGGTGTCACCTGGAAGACACTTTTGGTTGTCTGGTAGACATGTGTCACCGGAAGTCTTGGTTTTCCTGGTAGACTCAGTGTTGTCCCTGAAGACACTAGGTATCCTTGACTATGTATGTACCAGACAGTTTTGTCCTGGTATCAGTGTGTTAATGGTACCAGCACAGTGTCATCAGTGTTAATGGTACCAGCACAGTGGTCATCAGTGTTAATGGTACCAGCACAGTGGTCATCAGTGTTAATGGTACCAACACAGTGGTCATCAGTGTTAATGGTACCAACACAGTGGTCATCAGTGTTAATGGTACCAACACAGTGGTCATCAGTGTTAATGGTACCAACACAGTGGTCAAGTGTAAGTCACACAGTGGTCATCAGTGTTAATGGTACCACAGGGTCATCAGTAATGGTAAGCACAGTGGTCAGTCAGTGTTAATGGTACAACACAGTGGTCATCAGTGTTAATGGTACCACGGCACAGTGGTCATTCATGTTACCAAGCACTGAAGCTACTGGTCATCAATGACCTTAACAACATCAGTGGCATGAACATCATGGATGGCTGGGAAAGTTGTGAGAGTGCGTGTGGAAGGGAAGGGAGAGGGAAGGAGGGAAGGAAGGAGAGGGGAAGAGGAGGAATGACGGGGAAGGGGGAGGGAAGGAAGGAGAGAGGGAAGGAGGGAGGGAAGGAAGGAGAGAGGGAAGGAGGGAGGGAGGGAAGGTCTTGCGTGGGAGTTGACTGCATCTTGAGAGTTGTTGTTCTTACACAAGATCTGAGTAAGAGGAGTGTAAGACGCAGCCTCCACCACCCTCTCTCCTCATCCCCGCCGCCACTACCACCATTTTACCTCTGATAATATTGCATTTTATGCATTACACCTGAGGTTAAGCCAATAAATTTAAAGACAAGACAGTTATATGGGATAGGGCGAAACAGGTTTATAAGATTACCGAAAGGGAGAGCTCACGTCAGCTGTTTTTCTCCATTTGTGGGTGGAGTTGAAGGTTTCTAGATCCCTCCTGATGCTTATTTTCTTTCTATATTATACCCACTTTAAGATACTTATATTCCTTATATAATTACCAAAAATGTTCCTTATATAATAATAAAATTAATTAATGAGATATCTAACTTTCTTAATTATTTACAACACTGTAATAAAAGCGCTTTAATAAATTAATTTCTCCATGCAGGATCTGTACCTCAGAAGACGCATGCGCACAGTAGTCGTGACGTCACTGTTTAGCCCCGCCCCCCGAGCACTGCCATTGGTCAGTTGAACCTCTTGTCAGGAAATGATATTTGGAGAGCTAGCATTTCTACTTGCAATTTTCTAGATCCTCTATGCTAGGGCCCTCATTCTGCTCCCATACACCTCTCGGGTAGCACACCTCTCCAAATCGGACTTCTTATCTCAATATTCTTTAACCTGGAGATGTTTGTTATAATATGTACATCTCTTAAAATCACTCTACACCCTTGCCTGACGTGTGACTATAGTACTTATCTTTGACCTAGATTAAGCACAAATAGCACAGGCAAGGCGATGAGGCATCAACACTGCAATTAATAATTTCTCATGAGGCTAAAGTATGGCGTTATTTTTCATTTAAGGACTATAAGCGCTTGCTGTACGACTCCTTTGCTTTTACTCTCCTCACTGGCATAATGTTTGTCAATGACGTCACTAAGATGAGATACATAATGCGCTCTTCCTCGTCGGTATCAGTTTGCATTCTGCTTCTCTGGTTTTGATAACATGCAGAAATGAGTGAGAGGAAGGCAGAGTAGTGTGCTGTGTTGGCTCCACCAGGAGGATACTTGACAA